CGCATCAACGTGTTTGGAAAGTTTTTTTTCACATTAGATATGCATCCATATTGAATTGACTCCCACTGTCCATTAGAACACGCGCATCTCCTCATTTATTCCGTGTACAGACAGACGCATTTCTCACAGAACCAAAATCCATACTACGTTTTGTGCTTAAAATTGCACGGACGTAGGTCTATCCAGGTGGTATATAATGACATGTCCGTACTGCCTCTCAGTTGTACATAAAAGGTTTCACTTGTTACCATAACAGTCAAAAAAACAAAACAGACCGACATTCCATACCCAGCCTTCCAACCTACTTCACATTCTCTCTTTACCCGGTCAAACCTGCCTCAATACTTCCAGATTCCTATGGCGGTTGAAACGTGATGTTAAACCGAGTTCTGATCTCCACCCATCCTATCAATGTTATATTATTTACTCCGACATAACGACTTCGATACACTTATGTTTATATGAAAATCAGCGAAGGAAACTAAACCGAGCCCCTGTTTTCACTCCTTATACCGCAGTTATATCCTCGCCTCAGTCGGTGCCATATTTCTCAAGGATTTCATGTCCACCTAAAAACTATGAAGAAACACCAACCGGGTGCTTATCCTCTTTCACCTGACGGCTATTGCATTGTATTTTTTCAATGATTTTGCAGAGTACTGGTTACGCTGGTCGCTATTGCTACTTCTGTTATAGATACGCACGCGCGTAGGACAAAACTGGCAAACACTATCGTAGTAGCTCACTAGATCCGCGCTTCCTTGCTAAGGATCCATAAATATTAGCGAACCCACTGACGATCTGTGGGAACGGAGCCTTGACCACCTCGAATGTAGTGCCATCTTGAACATGTGACGAACATTTAGCATGTATGTTTTCCCTAACTATATTTATAATTCTATTCTGGTAAGCATATCATTGTAGACTTGTAACATATTCCCCCCACAACACTAGAATTGTTAAAACGGTGATCACCACAGCAGACTTTCCCGCTTGTAAATTGCTTAAGCTGTTCACGGTTCTATTTATCCGGCATGTTCCTTCCCCCGAGACTCGTTCAAATACTGTGGAGAAACCTTTGGATACGACTCGCTGATGAGCGTATTGACTCCGTACAGTGGATCTACGGCATTGATTCCTCGATACGAATAAAAAACAATCCTTCTAGTTGAAGTCAATCTCGCCTGTAACTCTTCGCTCTCCATTAAACAACCTCTCACTACACTGCAGTGACAGTCTACACCATAAGTTAAGTATACACCGGTATGTCACTGACACAAAATTGCTACCCTGCCATGTCTTCGCGCACTACCAACAAACATGTGGTTGATGCAGTGCCATACGTGAGAATACATTGAGCCTGTTACATGACGAGGGCATCGGCAAATTAAAATCACACGTACTTTATTTGCTTGAATAAAAAACAAATTTGCCATCACCTTGTACTTTTCGATCGGACCAACAACCTGGGCCGTCACTTGCAAATTCGAGAAATAAAAGGTTTACTTATTTCTTCGAGTGTTTGAAAATCGCCTCTCAATAGGTTTCACTGCATCGTCTTACTTCTGCAATCTATTCCCTGTTGCCTTATTTATGATCCAATCGTTTCTCAAATCCCTTCATGTCCTTAGCTTGAATATTCGGATTAGATTTCAATGACCTGTTTTGACATCCACGGGACAATCAGTAGCACAATTGGACAGGTTCATGGTACGACGCTGCTTCTTGTCCAGTGATTTTTATCCGTTCCTTTGCTAAAATTAAGTGTTCTAGTGCACCATCCCAAGCGATCACATAGTGAAAACTTCTGTTTTAGAATCTGGGACGGCGGTCAAATTCATCACCGTTTCCATCTCCTTTGAGGTTTAATGACTACGTCTACAAACCCACAACATATACCAAGCGCTTTCAATAAGCGGATTGGTGCCGGAATCATGACAAGCTTATGTTTGTTAAAATTTTGTAAAAAGCTATAGTGAGTGGCACCTACCCTTAAGGGGAAAACCTTTCCATACTTTCTTTCATGCAATATTTTCCATTAGTTTTATGATATCCCCCGTCCCTTGATCAAAAAACCGAATAATCGAAAGAAAGCTGAAATTGTCCGGGAACATAAAATATTAGACTGCTTCATCCCCTTATAGGAAATACGAATTCACAAGTAATCGATATGCGTGTTTGCATCTACTGACACCAATGCACTAGCATTTGAATATTTGCTGGTATTATTCCAAACGCCATCTTTTATTTAGGCTAAAGAAAGCAATCTACAGTGTTCCTTTGCGAAAGCTTTTGTCGGTACTATGGTAATTGAAATAAGTATCGCTTTAATCAATTAGTACATTACTTCTTAACTACTAGCCAATTGGAGTTTCAACCCGCACTCTTTTAGATAGAAGATTAAACTCAATATTGGTCCTAGGTTATTTTCGCAAATTTTTAAACAATGACCACGAAGTACGTCTCCTGATTTCGGTCACATTAATTTGCTTCTCACTTGTTCTGAAAATCCCAACCTACTTGTGACCAAATGCACAACAAATCCGGTCCCTAACCCGAGTTAATTTTACTGTGCTTGTAGTTCAAATAACCTAATATTATGACGCACGTACAATACTGCCGCGTCGTGGTAATGCTTTTCTTCGGCTAGTAGATGTGGTTTGCGGCGGCAATCTTCTGTTCCTTCTCATTCAGGGGCCAGGAATTTATGTTACACAGGCATTTCTGACTCCTTTTGGGGAAATACGCTGAATGACAGGCTGAGTCGAATTGAATGACTTGCCCTTCAGTCTGAATGCCTCTTTTAAAACTATGCCGATAAACCTTATGGTGGACACCTTTTACTGCCGTACGCGGTTACTCCAAAGTTCATAGTTCTTCCCACTCCGATATATTTGTCCTCTATGGTCACAGTCGTCCCGAAGGCTTGAGTTAGATGCCTCCCTCCTGTCACTAGTCAATTTGGTTCTATCTAGACATGTCAAGACCTGAACTGCCTGGCGTTGAGTGCATTTCTTGTATGTACACCCTATGGGTCCTGAGCACGCAACCGACATTCTGTGGGTATATAAGATTAATGGTGAGGGATTATTGTTTGTGACACCGATCTAGAGGTTCATACATCGTATTATATTTCAACAGCCATGTTTTTACTCGGCCTGCTTCTCACGTCTTTCATCAATGCGTGTTCAGGTAAGCCTACAATTTTAACCTTTGCGATCAGAGGACTAGTGTAGTTCTGTCTGCAATAACTGTTTACCAGTTGACTATACTTTTGTCTTAACTCCGGGAATGATTAGAAGCACACAGAGCTTACTCATTTTGTATAAGTTCGGGAAATTGAGCATCTCCTGTGGGGTTGCTACATCCGAATATCAACCCACCAGTTAAATCATTTTGTTAAATGTACTACCATCTAGCTTTGTTAAACTTTTGTCTAGGTTACTCATAAATTTGCTTTCCGATGTTTTGGACCATTATCCTCTGAAAAACTCGCGTTATGTTTTAGGTAATTGGCCTATCCCTCATCATAATTTTTGCTGTGATCAGCAAAGCTTTCCTTTAAAAGCAGCCGTTAGGGAGCGAATTCCACGAGCGGATAGACAATGTCAAAATGGTTTGAAAAACCGTTCCATATAAAAGGCCAATCTTTGCCAACTTCTAGAATTCAAAACATGTTAGGGGGATTCACTCACACATATCTTGTCACCATTATGACATTAATGAAATCCGCCTCACCGGAGACTGATTGCTTTGCTTACTATAATTGGTTAGAAATGTTCTTAGCACCGCTGTCCAATATTCGTTCCTAAATCAAATATTCGCACCATTCATTTCACAGCTGCAGACGAAGGCACTAACGTGGCCCAAGGCAAACCAGTGATAGCAAATGCTGATTGGTCCAAATGCCTTGTTGATGGTGATTTTCAAACCACAATCAGTCCAGATTCAGGCAAAATGCCTCTGTTTTATGTTGACTTGCTTGACTTGTACGAGCTTTCGTCGATCCGAGTTCATGCCCAGGATGATGTTGGCAATTTCGGTAAGTTCTCTGGGCAACAGCAAGCTGGATAGCACTCATCACATCTCAGTCCGGTAAAAATGCACAACCAAGTTTCCTGCTCATGATATGCTAAATATTTAACTAAATTACTTTCGCAATTGTTCGTCCATTTTAAAACTATGGTTACAGTCGACAACTAGTAATCTTTGGTATTTAATTTTCGTTTGGGGCATAGTTAGACGGCTTTTTACTTTCCCTTGTGGCAAGTGAGGTAGAATTGCACAGGTGGATCGACACCTCAAATTAACTAAGAGACTACTCTTTCGCAATTTTTTACTTGGCATTCATTGAAATGAACTCCCATTGTGATCACATTCTTCGTCTAGACTAGGTCCCACATACATTTTCTGTGTGGAAGACCGAGTAGTACTTAAGTTGAATATATTTAAAGTAACAGGACTGTTTCCACTAGAACTGGGGACCGAATAAGTTTAATAACTTTGAAGCCCTTCTTCTGTGTCTTTTAGACAGGATATAAAAGTGTCAATCGAAGAAGAAAATCTGTTTCAATTTTACACTGAAAGTCTAACCAAGATAAATTTAGTTAAATGTGACATTGGGCTCCCAAACACTAGTATGCATTGATGGCAGAGAAAATGCTTTGCATATGGTTACAAGCACTCGGTTCAACTGAGCTATAAGAAAACCTTCCGTGTTATTTGATCACTTGTTCTACAGGTGATGCTGGGATCAACGTCCAATTCTCCGTCTATACATTGGATAAATACACAACCGGATGCGATCTAGATGAACAATACCCGTGGAAGTTGGCAAAAGGGAAACTGAAATTCACGAAAAGGGGCGAAGAAATCCCCATCGATGGACCGATAAACGCTCGATATATCATTATTATGCCTGATGATGGAAGTCTACTAGAAACCACTGAAGGTTTAACCATGGGAGAGCTGAGGGCATTCGGAAAAAAGGTGTCAGATGGTTACACTCCGAAAGCCCCTGATGATGGACCATCGGTTACAAACACATACACGGTGCGTTTGTCATTTTCCTCTATCCAATTTGATAAGTTTCGTTGCATTTTGTGTAATCGGGCAAGGCAAATACGTCTGCAACAGTTCCACCAATTTCAACAATTTTTCAAATGCGGTCTCCACTGCGTGATTGTTAGACTATCAACCTGAACCACAACTCTACAGACAAATGAGCACAAAGTTGGTAATTAAACACGTTAACTTAGTTGAAGCATTGGACGACCGGTTGATCAGTGATTACAATCCCATAAGGATTGTATTTGGCTTATGGCCCGGGAGTAGCTCTGAATATGTGGATGCGAGCCAGTGAATTTACACTATTTTGGCGTCCTTCTTGCAAAAACCCACCAAGTCCTAGTGTAGAACTTAAACCCACAGTTGTTGCACCTGAACCTCACTCCGATGGAGTTAACTAGAGAAATTACTATACCTCAAGTAAATACCTCTCTCTTCTTGCACCTGATGATAACAGCATACACATTAACTCCACACTGTTGTCTATTTTGTCGCATCTCCGGTGGGTTGATAATGTTAGTCTTTTGTAACATCGTTCATGTTTTTGTCAAATCCTAGCTAAACATCTTTTATTATAATCTTTGAGATGATAGGTCTGGAATAAATACCGAGAAATTCCTCCAGGCGTCGTCTTAGCTTTCGCCATCACAGAACAACACTTCGAAGTTTTTCATTTTACAATTAGTTGAATGGCGGCCTATCAAACAGGATTAGTACGTATTACTCTAGAAAATCGGTTGCTGAGAACTACTGTCAATGGGCTCGTAGCACATCACAAGCTGGCGCACATGTAGGATAGTAACTCTAAGCTGTTCTGGCCATGGTTTAACCTGCCAACTGACCACTTAGTCTATGCCACTGTGCATACGAATCAATTCACACGGGTCCGGAAGCGCATAGTAGTTCAAATACCACATGATTCGTTAATTTTTTACTCAGGTTGTGCTACCTTTTATCTGTAGGAGACAAGACGAGCGCTCCTTTCTGGAGCGAAGCAACTTTGGGTGGAACAACGTTTCGGGGAATACAAGCTGACCGAAAAATATGATGATGTTGCCTTGGCATGGTACAATAACAAAATCAACACTATGGCAGTCATACGACAGAAAGCCAGGCTCGTTCTAATGTCTGGCACGGAAGGATTGAACCGTCTGACCTCATCGTCGGAGTACACACAACTGAAGTCTAACTTCCTTGCTTGGCTTAGTTCTGGAACTTCTGGAGCATCTTTGGTCAAAGTTACTGCAAAGTACAAAGACGGGGACGTCTTGCTGATTACTCGAGATGATAACTTTAATGTGGCCTCTGTTCAGCAAAGCTTAACTGAAGGCAAAAATTCGGCCATTATTGCCTACGCTGGTTCAACCCAGCAAACGGCAGACAGCGCTACTGAATTGATGAGTAAGTTGGAGATCGGTTATTCCCCCCATCGAATCAACTATTCGGGCCGTAATCTACTACTTGCCCCCTTCATAGAGACCACGCAATTTATCCCGAAGCCGTATGTCTTGCAGCTAGCACTCCAGAGCTGGAAGTACTTTAGAACAGTAGATCTCGTGGGTGAGATCGAACCGGAGGAATCAGCGCAGCCAGCATTTCAGGAGGCATTAACGAAGCTCATTGAAAAACATAAGACATTTTTTACCGAAACCGCCATATGCGACCGAAATCAGTATGTCTCGGATGACGACACAGAAATGGCATATGAGAATTATAACCGATTGTTACTTCTACAAAACGGGTCTAGTATCGAAGTAGCACCTGGATATGCTCGCGCTCCAGGGAGTGTACTCTCCAGTGAGAAACCTACAAGTTACACCGTGAAATTTAACGTCGACCTTTCTGGAAGCTTTTATCCAATGGGAGGCTATGCGAAACCGGGGGAGGCTTTTCGATACAAAGTGTTGGAAAATTCAGCGACGGATTTGACTGGATTTCGTATTCGAATCAACCCACAAACGGATGTGATCAGGAAAAATGTGATGAAGCGTTGGTTTGTGGTCACTTCGGTGAAAGATCTCGAAAATGAGGGTGAGTTTGCTAGCCCTTTCGGTGGACCAATTGTGATCGAAATCCCAGCAAAAGGAAGCATAAGCATCCGCTTTGAAAACGTCTATCGATATGCCTGGTTCGATTTGCGAGACACCAAGACAATGAACAGCTGGGAAACGGACCGAAAGAAGTACCGGGGCGTTCCATTTGTCATGGTCGTGGGAAATGATATGATCAGTATGCTGGACACATCGATCTCCACAACGTGGGATGCCGAGCGTCTCAAATGGTGCATCAATTATTTCGATAATGTAATCAAGATAATGCACAACTATCGTGGAACAAATTCCGAGACAGATCGTATGCAGGTTTTTGTCACAGATGTGCAACTTTCCGCAGGATGGGGTCACTCGGGTTACCCGTGGATGGGATATGTGCCATGGACCGAAGACTTTGGTAATATAGATGAGATTAAGAAAGGTCATATAATTGGTATCCCTCATGAGATAGGTCACAACTTACAGGTGCAACAAATTACCTTTACTAATGGCACCGAGGTATCGAATAACGCGTACATTCCGGTGGCTCATTACTACCTGCTTGGGTTACCAGCGTACACCAAGGGATACACTCCAGGTTGGAGTGATGATGATGAGAAGGAATTACTGGCGTTGTGGAGAGGGAACAAGTACATTGGAGTCGGTGTCAGTCATTACAATTACTTCGCTCGATCATTCAGTCCGGCTTTGGTAGGAAACGTGATGAATGAAGCCTATCATGCGAATACATCACTTGACAAGGAGGAGGACAAGGTAAACTTTTGGATACAGCATTTATGCAGTGAATCTGGCCACGATCTAGTCCCGTTTAACCGCATGTGGCATTTCCCAATCTCAGACGAGACGGTCACCTTGTGTGGTAAATATCCATGCTTCTTTCCAGAGGACGAGCTAACTGCGCAGGTACCGGATTTGGTGAAAAAACAGCTAGACGCATATGGCAAGACGTGTAGCAGGACGAAGCCAAACGACGTTGCTTTTAAAAATGATATTAAGCAACGGATCGACAAGTTGAAATCACAAATAATTTTCATTGAAGGATAACATTGCAATGGTGATCATTATGTACCCTTAATTGAAACAATAATAGGATATTGTACTCGTTATTCCGTTTTGTTTGGAGTCATTCCACTAGATACTCTGGCTTAGTGCCCAGGATTAATCAAAATTGCAACGGAGAGGTTGCATTCGATCGTGTGCATACCACAACTATAACAGCATTAAGTTTCGGAATTCCAGCTGTTCAAATACCCAGCACATATTTGGAGGGTCATACTGAGGCTCTCGTGCGTATCTGTCGCTGGTTAACTTCATTTTTCCCTTGAGTAAGAACGCTTGTGCAGCCAAATCCGCTAGTACGAAATCCGCTTGTTTGTGAAGCTGCAACTTTGTCCTTGGAACAGTATATTCGGCCTCACCATAAAACATTATCGTCGTATCTAGTTGAGCAATATCCCACTGGTCGATGAGGATATCAACACGCTTTTCTAAACGGATAAGCAAAACTGCGAAATAATATATCATGCACCATGTTCTGATACATGCTCCGGGTTCTACAGTGACAAAGTACACTTGACTGTTTTTGAGATGAAGAAGGCCGGTGGCGCGTCACTCACCCAGGAAGATTCAAATTGATCTGCACTGGTTTTCTCTTTTTCAATGTAACCCTGGCTATCGGCTTCTTTAGCTTTACCGACCGTTGGTGTAGGTTATTCGCAACTGAAGCTTGTCAACTTTAAATGAATGTCAGCTGCATGCATTAAGGATTAGTATACCTTCTCACTAGATGGCGTCATTTAGGTGGGCACTATTTGCTTACCATCGCGTAATACCAGTCGCTAAGTTCCTTCATGAACACAACACGAGTGAAAAGATAAAGCCGACTAATTAATTTAAGAAGTGGTGAACCTTTACTTTCTGTCTCAACAGGCACTAATGGCGAATTCGCAGAACATAGACAACTTGGTCCACATATAAGAGTTTGACATATTGCAACACTCGATCTAGATAATAAATAAATAAACAATAAATAAACGTGTTATTCCTCAGCAGTACGAGGCAAAGACCAATTGGGTGGTCTTATCAACAATGGCTGCAGTCCAGCAGCACTTTGTTACTTATTTCCAGACGATAAAGTCAGCTGGTGAGACTTTGTGTATTTGGACCTGAACTCACCGTCTTTAAACATTCGATAGATGTGGCGATGAAACATCATGAATAAGGCAAGAAAATCTACTGAGGTGTTGGGGACTTGACTCCATCTAGTAACATCCACTTGTCCACAATAACTCAAGAAACGTAAATAATTTTTATTTATCAGAAGATGCTCTTTTTTAAAAACCATGGGAATCACACTGATGTTGATATCTGCCAAAAAATGTACGGCACAACAGTTGACTGTGGAGAAGAAGCGAATGCTTAATTAACGCTATGGATTGGTTACGATGCAAATAACAAAGCCGCTTGAAAGTGGGCCCATAATCTCTGATTCTGACAGCTGATCTAGCCGAAAAGTTTGAGTATGAAATACACCATTTGGGTTGCGTAACTCTACGAATGATTGCGAATGGAGTAACATGTCACCAAGTTGTGACATAAATAGAAATAAATTAAGACAGAAAAAAACATACTCGGGAAAGGTAACTTCACAAGCGGTACTGTCGATGATAGAAGAAACTGCAGTATGGTTGCAGCTTACTGTACTCGTTGACCAATTTAAATGATGGTCACAGTTTGTTTTTCTGACTGGGTTCTTCATGGTGGGTTTATGTTATATCGCTAGCAACTGTTACTGGGTTGCTGAAAGCGTTCGATCAGCCATACACTAACAGTTGCTCTTGAAGTTTTAACGTATGCTAGGCGGTGAAGATCTTTGTACCGCACAGTAATTCCTAGAGATCCATGACAGAGTAATGGAGATGGTTATCACTGGGTACAACCAAAGAGTTGTTGATTTCAACACTGTCTGGAAGTCTCCATGAGATTAAAAGGAATTGGCTGGGTAACTACAGCCAACCGTAGGGAACTATCACTCTTAACATAAGTTACCTACTCTCAAAATCCTCTCTTTGATAATGAGGTACCAACTTATTTGTGTACATTCATGTAAATTTGTGCTAAATGCGCTAGAAACTAGATTGTAGGGCCTATGGAACTAATTGCTCCGCTGGCCAGTTGCTGCTACCGGATGTTGCCAAGGTGGGATTAAACTCAAACAGGCAACGTCGTTTACCTGGGAGCTCACTATCTGCCTACGTTTGTGTAGTCCCCACTTTCAACACCATCAGCAACCACAGTTTCCCAATGGGCGGCGATGAAATGTATCGTAAAAGGAAAGCCTCCGTCATAAGGTGCCAAGGATATCCACTTTTGGAACAGTCGATAAAACTAAGGGAGTACTTTGGTTGCTCTGTTCACCTTGCATTACCTAAGGGATACGTTTCTTGGAGTTTAATACACAACATATTCCGACGTCCAGTTGATCACCGCGCGGTCAGCATCCATCCGTAATTGCTCTAGAGGTGTATCGTTCTGAACCTCAAGAAACTGGTACGCTAAATCGAGCTTCACCATCGGTCGGTTCCATCAATGCTTATGTTGTGCATCCCATACGAGACACATTCAAGTAGAAACAGCAAGTGTGGATCAGATCTGCGGATAACCACATGGCAAATTGGCGAACGTTAAAAATAGTATGTCGTTTTGTGAATAATAGGATCTGAACACATCAGTGTAATTGACCAAACTTGAAGACCTTCAGAGATCTGTCCCGCCCTCCACGCAGCAGTATCGTGTGTGACAGTAACTAATGAGAATCAACAGAACAATGGTGCTTTACGGGCAAAAATGTAAATGCTTAACAAGTCCCGTAGGATGGCCCGAATGGAGACTACAGAAGGGTGAACAGAAAATAAAATGATAAAAGGAACATCTTTGTGGTGCACTCGGTAGTGTTCACAAAGAGGCATGCAGAAAAGAGCAAAGTTCCATGATGCACGCAACTGCGGATTGTGCAAATTTCGTCACGTTATATCGCCTGTGGATATACACAGGCTATCTCATAAAGTAGGTTGGTAAGGACAACGTCAAGACGCTTCTTATAGACAGAAAAAGTGAGGAGGAAACAAGGTGATTTGAATGGGCTTTTCAAGGCTGGCACGCACAAAGTTTGTGAAACTTTTGCCGACATTCCAGCTCACTGTATTGCATGACAAATTGAACTACTGGTCCCACAAATTCGTGTTGGGTCTTAGTTGCAGGAGGTGGTGGAAGACATGTTTGGGGTTCCTCAAAATCTGCCACGCCGTAAACTGTTCGCCACGATCTTGAGCGCTATATAACCTTAGAGCCCTCAGCGTAATTTTATAAGAAAAATGAATAACGCATTTGACGTGTTTTGTGACTCAGCTACAAAATCTCCATCGCAAGGAGTTCATTATTGTGTCATGACTGACAGGCATGGATTGCGTATTCCACATGAGGCTGCACGTATATGTTAAACCACTGCTGGCAGACAAACGGATCAACCTGCCCAAATGCCATCCGCAGCATGCCAAAATGTTGGTTCCCAGTCTTTGACTCCTACTCAGATGGTTCCGCACAGCCCGGAACAGCCTATATTAATATCCCACGGCCGGGCTCATGGGTGAATACTTGCAGTTCAGGGTCTTTTAGCGGTATATTTACCACAAAATTCGCAAGGTGGATGACGCGAGCTAACTTTGGATTCCTACCAACTATTTGTTTACTCACCCTATGCCCCATGGTTACTTGCCCTCCCGACCTAAAGATTATGTAATCCACAGGATTAATAACAGGATCTAATTCTTAACTCCTATCATCACTCCTCTCATGCAGTTCGTGCGCCATGGTTACCTGCCAACCAACATAACTATTATGTAATTAGCAAGCCCCATGTCGAGATCACAGTCTGGATGACCAAAGCAAACGCCTGTCCCAACTGATGAGCGCTGGCTTACCGATTATCCTCCCTGTGAACTCATACCAATGTTGCCACGACTTCACTTCACCTCTCTGTGTAGAGACCGTTCGCTCACACTGTGCAACCCGTCCAGAACACCCCACCCACACACACCTCGAACTTGAATCATCCTTCCGCTCCACGGGTACGCACCTCCATATTCTTCCCAACCCCACTGTTTGACTGAGCCAAGCCCAGCCCAAGAGTCTAGTCCATTGCGTTCCATTTCCCACACTGTATAGCAAACCAATGAACCAAGGGTTAACGGACTTGATAAAAGGAAGGTCATAGTCCGATCGTGGACTCGGTATCGTGTGACTCATTATGTACGGTGGCAAGTAACATTTGCATTCCTTTTGGATATTGTGAAAGCAAATTGTCTCTGAATTGATCGGACATTTTCATGGTATGTAAGTAATGTATTTTAATTCCTATTTGTATACTACGGTAGTTAACGTCTTGGCTTCCTTTCTTGCTTGGACCCGGGAGTTTTTACTCCTCAATCGAGCTCCCCCCCAAGCGAATGTATCCCTTACATGGTCTCCAAGCTAGCGTTTGATGTTCGGATGGTGATGAATGTGGACCAGATTTCATAGACGAATTATACTGCAACCCTTTGGGAAGTGCCTATTCATAAGCCCTGTGCAGGTCATGTTGAAGTGTGTCGTGATCTCCTTGGGCGGCGATCGCCTGTCACATCTTAACATCACCAGCAAACAGCAAGAAATCTAAAGCAGTGAGTCGCGTAAGCTCATTACTGAAAAAGGTAACCTGACGTGGACCCAGAACTGACTGTTGTGGAACTCTACCTCTGACGTAAACCGGATCGGACAGCGCACTCCGAAATCCAAAGTGCGGTTGTCGCTACTGCAGGAAATCCCTGATCTACTCAAGGAGAGCATCCCAAACTCTGCGCTGTAGAATGCTGTACCCAGACGGTCGAAGGCGTTGGAAAAATTTAAGGCATGTGACCTCGTTCCTTCTCCCTTTGTCCGCTGTCTCCGTCCAACTACTGCGTGCAATCAGCAGTTTGGTTGTGCCTTAACAATTCTGGTGGTAATCACGCTGCTCCGGCGCTATGATGTTTTAGCGCTTTAGATGGTCGACAGAATCCTCTGTGATAATTGCCACCATCACCTTTGATGGTACAGTGAGGGGGACTCCCGGGCGCTAATTTT